GTGCAAAGTCCTGGGAGGGAGGAGAGTCAGGACTATACCGGCTTTTTCTTGTCAGCTCCAGGCTGCTCTGCTACTTTCATAACTGGAATTATAACAGATCCTCAGTGATATGTCTGTATTAACAGAACGCTTTGAAATTGTGGAGATATGAATAGCAAGCGAAGCTAAGAAATTGTGTGAAGAGGCAGTTTCTAAAGCTTTGTGGTACACAGAAAGTGGTGCAGTTGCCTTGGCTATCTTCTTGTCTGTGACTTCGATAAGACAGGTTTATTAATGGAGTTTTTGAAACTTACGCATATGTTACTATTGATTGACTTCGTGCTGGAGGCAAATCTCAGGGTTTTTTCTGCAAGTTGAAGAACCTCCTGGTCTCTAGAGAGATTACTTTGATCATATGTATGAAAGAGGTATTTGTTTGCTTTATGATACCAAAACTTACAAAGCGTGTGTAACTTTTTTTGTTAATATACATGAGAATTATACTGAAAGATTTTTAGTTGCATAAAATAAAGTTAATCTTTTGCAATTAGGTAGCAAAAGAATAATTCATGGCAATTAAATAGGAAGACACAAGTGCCATGGTTTTACTTTTCAGAGCGTGGACCTGTGGCTCTAATTTCAAAGTTTAATATAAGTTTCTAGACAACTTTGTGAATGAGAGCAGATTCTGAAAACAAAAGTTATTTGAAATACTCAGTATTTCAGTTTCTTAAGGAAAAAAGGCACATTGTCTCTTTACTTCTACCATAGAAAATACAGGGAAGGTAACTGAGATAACTGCAGTGGAGCAAGGCTGACTCAATTTAAGGAGCACAAGCTATGGAAGCAGAGGAACCTACACTTTCTTGTTCTGTGTTTTATGGAGCAATTTGCTTCTGCTAGAGATTTTTGCTGATGTCTTTGTGGATTCTAAAGGTTGTCTGTAAAAAAACCACATGAATTTAAGGTGATGAATGGAAACCACACCTATGCCAGGCTTTGTTTGCTTAGCAGACACGCAGAGTACTGCACTGTTCTATCTGAAATAACTTTTAAGATACATGCACCAGTTTTGCTTAGAGTGTTTGTTCATCTAACAGCTTAAAATGCTGACTTGCATGCCTGGGTGCGGATGAGGGCTATCTGTGCTTGATAACTTTAAGGTTTTGTGCTGTAAAACAAATGTAGGATTTTAAGAATTGTATCTATTTTTTTTTTTTTTTTTGGTAGTAGAGACTTGCTAAAAATGAGCACAGTGGGGACTCAAAAAGAGTCAAGTGAGTTGAGACTCGGAAGTGATGTTTCTGATCTGCTAGAAAGAAAGCTAATGGCTGAGGAGAAGGTGTTGCTCCTGGTACTGTTGTATCTTAACCTAATTTTGAAAAAGTTATGTATCGTGGGTTTTTTAGCTTCCGCACCCCTTTCAAGCTTTTGAGACACAGTTTCCCCCGCTGTTCATGGGTGAAAGTAGTTTCAAAGCGTGTCTGTAGCTGTTCAGGCTATGGTGGCAATACAAAAAATTCAGAGCACTTCAGAAGACTTCCTGTTAACTTGAAGAAACTATTTTTAGATGTGTTTTCATTAGAAGTTTCTTAAAAACAATAACTTTTTTCACAGTCGTTTCTCAGTAATGTATTCTTCTGCAACTTAACTTGTAAAAATGTCTTTGTGTTGAAATGAAAAAAACAATGTGCAGCTTGTTAATTGACAGATTTAAGTCTTCAGGAGTAGATAGTTTGAGGGGTCTGATTTACTTTGTGTTCTATTTATTTATTTACCAAAATGTGTTTTCTTTCATAGAGTGAAGATACGCAGCAACAAATTATCAGAGAAACTTTCCATTTAGTATCAAAACGTGATGAAAATGTCTGTAATTTCCTAGAAGGAGGATTGTAAGTATCAGTGAAATAAATGCCCAATACTTATTGTCTAGTGACTGTTAGTACTGCGGATTGTAATGTAGCTGTTTTTACACTTGTAATGTAAATGCCGTGTCACTTGAGATATTTTAATACACAAAGAATAGTATCATATTGCACCAGATATACATATACTTTACTGACTGAAGCATACATACATGTATATAGCAACATGACTTAGGAAATAAAAGTATTTTTTCCTAGTACTGTAACTGACACAGTGCCATATCTAGTGCTGTAATTGGTTCTGACACAAGATGGGGAAGAAACAGGCAGATGATACCTAACCAGTTTCCCTGTAATCAAGCTAAAGATTTCTGGTGTCATTTGAAGAGGCACTGGCATTTGCCATACTCATTGAGAAAATCAAACTATTTTGTAGCTGGTGGTTTGGCTTGAGTTCCTAAAATTTGAGTGGACAGCCTCTGATAGTAGGATTCTTTAGGCTTTTGATCGAGGTTCAGGCTTGCTATATAAATTAGGAAGACAAAAATAGGTTTTACATTTGCCGACTAAAGCAGTTTAAACCAAGATTTTTTATTAATATGGGTAGAGCAAGGTGGGAGGAAAGCCAGACTTAGGTCTTCCATCTGTAGAAGACATGCACAAAATATTCTTTCTTTAATCATCTTGGTTGTTTTTTTTAAATAAGGTCTTGCATTAGTTGAAGAGAAGAAGTGCTGAAATGGAAGAGTGTTTTATTTTGAGATATTAGTCATAAAGAGTTAACAGTTACTGTAACAACTGCCTTCTAGGAAAAGGGGTCATAATTGTTGGAGTAAGCTCATGATCTCCAGTCTAAACATAGAGATTGTCATAGCCTGTTAAATTTTGTAATTATGGAAATTTTTTTGTTACTGAAAGTTAATAAGTTAATGCCTAAATTTTCTGTGTGCAGAGTCAATTAAATGCTTAGTTGTACCATGTCAGCTATGATGTCTTTTTCCTGATCAAGATTGTTCCTGATTTTTTTATTTTATTATTTATTTATTTATTATCCCAAGGATTAATGTAAAGCAACGTGCTTAAACAAAAGAGACCTAAAAGATTTCTTGTTCTTTTTATTTATTTACATAGTCTCTCACTATGATAAAGGCAGAAACTAAACGGATGAGTTATGATACACCGAACAGGTGACTCAGTTCTGGTACAGAATTAAGGGGGAATTACTGTGTTCATAGCCATGTAGGTTCAGGCTACAAAATATTTTCATTTCTATTTGAGCAGGCCTCAAATAGAATAGCAGGCCTCCTACTGTTCAAAGTAAATGTTAGTGACCTGAAGAGTATCTTTTCTTACGACTTATATACCTTCTTCAGGAAGGCTGTAGCAGAAGAGTGGAAGATCTCTTCTCTTCTTCAGTAACTTCATGATTAGTGAGTCCATAAAAATTTAATTGCTTCTGTGACTTTAACATTGCATCACAGCCTATTGGTTGTAGTACAGTCTTACTTATCAAGGTATCAAAACACTTTGTATCACAAGAGTGTTAACATGTTCTTGGTTATTAAGTGGACCGTAAACCCCATTTAAGGCTTTTTCTGTAATCCCAATGCCAGTCTGCATTAGTTTTCTTCTTCTGTTGATGCTGTTCTGAGAAGGGCAAGGAAGGATTCATAGGCATACACTCTGTTAATCTGTAAAGCAGGTTAATCCCTGTACACTGCCCACACTAGTGTGTAATGGAAGTACATTTAATATCAACTTTTTATGGACCTGCGTGATCTCTTTGAATTGATTTTAATTAAAAGGTGCCTATGTTGAGGTAATTATTACCCATATGGGTAACAATAAGTGTGCTTGTGTGGTAAATGTAACTTGGGCTGTCTTGGTGCTTAGTATTCTTCCATTGTAATTATATCACAAAATAGTAGTTGTGATATACTTGGACTTGGGAAAGCTCGAGCCAGCCATTAACAATAGACCTCCTATTAACTGAAATAACTGTGAGGATTTGCCTCACTTATCCTGAGAGGCTAATTAAGCTTTTCTGTTTTCTTTCCTCTTTTAGATTAATAGGTGGATCTGATAACAAACTAATTTACCGGCACTATGCCACCTTGTATTTTGTCTTCTGTGTGGATTCTTCAGAAAGTGAGCTTGGCATTTTAGATCTCATACAAGTAAGTTTTGGGGTTATTTACTGCTTTTTTTTTTAATAAGTGGAATTCTACTTTGATGTACCTTAGAACTTCAGTATTTAGCTGCATCTTTTTCTGTAATGCTTGGAAGTGAAGGTAGCTTTCATGCTGTGGACACAACCAAAGTGCTGAGTGTTACTTTTAGACTGAAGTTTTCTGCACTGTCTTTGAAAAAAATATTTCCCCAGCTGATGAGAAAGTAAGGAAATAGTTTGTTTGGAACCTCCTGAACAATAAGCAGCTGTTTTTTGCTGCAGCTTTTCAAGGCCTTGTTTTGGCTGCAGGTAAAAATGGTGCTGTTCAAACATTTGCTAGACAAGTTTAGATTGTGAGAATCTTGATACGTAAAGCTCTCTATGTGTGTGTATATACACACTCAGATGGACACACACACACACACACACACATATATTTTCACTACAAATATATAATAGATTAGCGCATCCAAAACATCTTTGGATTAAACTTTCCTTGTGCCTTATGAGCTTTTTGTCAGATATACCTTAGAAAATGAGTGCAAATGCTGCCCTGGGCATGTGTTCCCCACTGGGGGGTGGGTGGGGAGAGGTGAGGAGGAAGAGAGCTGGTACAGGTTCTTTCTGGATCTCAATAAGAAAGGCTTGACAACAAAATGGCTTAATAAGATAACTTTTTAAGAAAACAGAATAAGAAGAGGAATGTAGATAGTAAATCTTATACCCCTTCAGATGCTGGGCATCCTGTATTCATGCAGCATTCAGTGGAGCTCAGGTGTATTTTCCCACAGATGCAGAGCAGATCCTGTCCATGGAGAGAAGCTCTCCCTTTTTTGCACCGTTGAGCTATTATATAGTTTCCTTACAAGAAGCCAGGTCTATTCCTAAAGGATGTGCTTGTGAGAAATTCTTGCTGCACTTTGAGGTACAGGCAAGGCCATGCATGTGGTGTTATCACAGGTACCAAGTGGGAGCTATTTACAGGCTTCTCTGTTACAGCGCACTGAGTTTATCCTGCAGCCAAGGAATTTGTGCAGTGCAGCACAGGTCTGCGTACTCAGAAAGTGTTATGTGAGAAGAGTGGAAGATCATGCAATGGTCTCTCAGTATCAATACACTGCACTCCTTGGTGCACCTATAGTTTACCTTTCCAAAAGACATAATAAGTTATAGATTACATTAATAGGATACAGGCTTCTCAAGCCCAAAAGAGCAGATATGGCTCGTCCAAGATCACCAACATCTCAAATAGAATGTCTTCTGCAAGACTCCCAATACAGCATATATGATTTAAACTGTTAAACATGTCTGTATCAACGCAGCGATAAAAATAATGTCTGGTAATATGAACGCTCTAGAGAACTCTAACTATACCAGTGATTTTTTTTAACTTAAAATTTGCATATAAACGATTTGACTGATGATTGTTAGTGTAGTCAGATGTGGCATAAAATAGTTTCACACCATGAAGTGATGTACATTATTACATAAACCGAGTCTCAAATATATATATATACATATACATATATGATGCACTTACTGTTAAGCCTTTCAAAAGCTTGCACTTCAAGATAATTGATTCATCACATAAATAAAATCTGTGGTATCCTGAGACATGGGCCTATACCTATTAATTATTTCACTGTAGAAAGCACTGTGAGCCTTGAAGGCCTCACAAGTCCCTGCAGACCTTTCTTGAAGCAGAGTAGCTTCTCGTATTTACCTCTCAGTATTCAGGCCAGCTCTCCAGTGTTTAGAGCTCTTCTGGGCAGTAAATCCAAATTGTCTTTCCAGGTGGCTGTGTGGATAGAAATTCTTTTTATTCTTTTTATTAGATTCTTATATCGTCTTTGGTTCTAGAGACATTCTGCAATATCTGAACAATGTAAGTTACTGAATGAGGTGTACAATGGACTGACCTGTTCTTACCAGTTTGTTGTACAGAGTTGCTTAGTAGACTTGCTTAATGTGTCTTCCTACTTGGAAGTGCTAAAATATTTATGGGCAGAGAAAAGAAGCATGCTAATATTTCATGTGACTTAGGGATATTTTTTCAGATAAAGTGGATATTTTAAATATCTTATGTTTAATCAGCTAATAAGGATAGGATCTAGGTCAGTCAGTTGGATATACTGTATTTTTCAGAGCCACTATGCAAGTTCAACTAAGATTTTATTCATTACAGTATATTAAAAATGTCACATCAGTAGCTTCCAGTTATTTCTAATTGCACAGTGTAACTTAAATTTTACTGCTACTACCTATATTTGTATAGCCCTTAAGCTCTCTGAATTAGAGAGATCTTATATTTTTCTCTAAATTATGTTCCTTCTTGAGCCAGAAGTATTTTGATGGGTTTTGATCTCTCAGTCTTTATATTTCACATCTTTTCCATTCTGTCTTGGTGTTTAATTACATACCAGTGTAATCACTTGAAGGAAGGATAAATAATAGAAATGCTATTTCTATTTATAGAAATACTTTCCTTTTTTCTGATCCATATAATTTTGTTTATAAATACAGTCTCACCACAGTATCTGCAGCTGTTCAGTATTCCCATTTCTCTAGATCATTGTAATTCAATTTGATTGTAGTAGAAAGTATTCGGAGAGTAATTAAACATTTTTAATTTCCAGTTTGGCTCACAAGGAGCTTTTTAATCCTCTTAGCAATAGCAATGAGAATTAAATATATCTTACACTGGAAAAGTGCCCTCAGAAAGTTTATTATTACATCTCAACCCCATGTGCAACACAGACTGGCAGTATGTACCTGTACACATCTACTCAAGCAAATAAGCTTTGTCTGGTTTTTGTTTGGACGTGTTCAACCATTTTCATACATCTTTTTTACAATAGTTCAGAGACAACACAGGTAAGAGTAAACCATCTGGAGTTTGTTATGAATCATACATATACTGAATTGTTTAAATAAGTAGTTATGTAGAGGACCAGTTTATGATCTCCTAAAAATAAACTGGTGAAATGAACCTAGAAGTTGGCCTTGCACTTAGGAGTTTTTTGTCTTGTAAACTGAATAAATCTATAGTAGATTAGATTACATATGTCAGTCTGCAGTTCTTTTCATTGTAAAGTTTTGTTGTAATACTTAAGTGTCCTTCACAGAAGTATCTATCACCATTAGGTCAGAGCTGTTTCACAGGTAGGTCTTGGCTCAGGCTTAATGAATGCACTGTATGTGTTACAAATCATAGACTTTACCTCAGATTTTATACTGTGTTCGAACTAGATGTGTTGGAACACCTCAGGCAAATTAATACTGTTAATTTTTGTCCATTTCCTTTTCTTTTTTTTTTTTTTTAATATAAATACTTGCAGAATTCTCTTCATTGTTTTTGATCAGTAGGATGTGAGATAGGTCAGTATCTGTGCTGTGCTTGGTAGGCTTTGCAGTCTTTTGAATTCAGTGTAAATTATGTTGTGAGTTGTAGCTATTTCAGACACTTCTTGTTAGCCTGTAAAGTACGAAAATATAACTAGCTGTAGACTCCCATGAGGAAAAATTGAGTGACATTTACAATGGTACTTAACTCTCTTATGGACCTAAAAGCCTATGTCAGCTCTAAGCATTTTTGAGGATTTTAGCCCATTGCTATTCTTCCAAGACATGTTGACTCAGTAAGCAGCTAAATCTATAACATCGGTCTTCCAGGAAAAGTGATATGTAGCCTTGCAAGTTAACGTTGTTCCGTAAGATGCATATGGGAAATGCAGTGCAGTTCATGAAAGATGTTTTTCTCAGTTCTTAAAAGATAAATCATCCTGACCAGAGATGCTTTTATGCTAATTAAATAAAAAAGGGAGAAGCATATGACTGGGATACCTATTTTGGCAGAAAAATCCCTAACTGGTTCTCATTTAATGCTATTAGTTTATTTTAGAGTTGGGTGGAAAGTAAAGGGCAGGAATTAAGAACAAAAATAACATTTTGACCTAAAAAGCCTTATTGATAATGCATTAAGTCTATCGGTAAGTCTGCTTGAAAGACTCAACACACTTATGTTTTGACTGTCAGCAGGACTTGTGCAGTACTTCCCTGACACTATAATCTTGGCATTCTCTTTATAGTATATGAGTAGTTTTTTAAAAACTGAGAAGTTGGCTTAAGTGTGCAAGAACACAGAGGCTGCTCCAAGGGTTTCCCAATTAGAAAGGCTGTGGAAACAATGTAGCTGATTTAATATGCAATGATATGTGAACGATAGCTTATTAAAGATCACTTTTAAAGCAGAAGAGAAACCAGTCTTGTATATGGAGAACTGACTATATGATCAGACTGTTATGTTCTGAACTAGTTGGAGTCTCCAGTAGCATTTGGATAGTCAAAAGCAGTGAAGGAGAGGACTCTGCATGGCAGACTGAAATAATTCTGTCTTAAGGTTTACCACTGCTGTTTAGCCTAGGAAGAAGAATGGGATATTCTTGATATGAGTTACTTCTGTTGGTTTTACTTCATTTTTTGTACTTGCTTTTGTTAGTATTTGCCATTATCTAGCATCAGATGCACTTAATTGATTAGGTGTTCTGATTTTTCTGATAGCCTTGTCACCTTCCCAATGTTAATACGTGTTTTATTCCTTTGTCATCTTATTTACCTAACTGAAAAAATAGCCCTTCATGATAAAAGTGTTATTTTATGATTTTACATGTTGCTGAGTATAGGGAGCTCCCGGCTTGTATATATCCAATAACAATTTGGTATTTTGATGTGTATACTTCACTCTTCAGGTGTATATCTGGCTTTATTAAAGCATATTTACTACAAAAGAAAGGTGTGTTTTTTTTCCTTTTTTTTTTTTTCCCTGTTTACTTGTATGAAGATACGCATGGGTTTTTCTTTGAACTGTAAAACATTATGATTTCAACTATGAAGCACAAGGGGGAGCTCGTAATTCATTGTGCATGCATCCTTATTTTCTTACTATTTGTCTTTCTTTTCCAATAACATCACAAGGTAAATTTGAACTGATGGGGGGGGGGTGTGTGTCCCCCCCAGAATAGTTGGTATGTTTTCTCTTCTAGCTATTTTGATCTACAAGTCTGCAACATCTGAATTTCTGAAGTACCTAACTTCTAGCACTGCTTGAGTAGTATGCAATTCATTTGACTCTCAACTGAAATTATGATGAAAGTGGCTCTAATTTTATTTACCATATTGATTATTTGAAGGTGTCTCAAAATAGGTCAAGGAATGTTAGTGTAAAAAAATCTAGTTTACCTTGTAGACTAATGCTTTTAAAGACCACAGTTACTCGTAATAGATGTGTACCTTCTCAGTGCTGGCAATACTCTGAGTGAGCTCTCCATCATGAATGGAAGATTGAGGAAATTTCCAAAATTCCCATGAGAAATCCTTAGCTGGTAAAAATCTCTCTGAAGAATAGTTGGTGTCAGCTGATTTCCTTTAGATTAAAAAAAGTTTAGTATGTATTACTGGTCATGCATTGCAAGCAGAGATCTGTGAGTTCAATCATTGTGTAGTATTGTCGCTGTGTGATAGGTAAAGGTTTAAAAGTAGCCATTGTAACAATTAATCAAGTGGCATTACAAGGGAAGCTGTAGTTACTGTAAGGAGGTTGGAAAAATAAAACTTCTCTGTTGCTGATGTGTGGCCATACATACTGCTACTGAATACTCGTATCTGTGGAGGCCTTTTTTGGGGATTTTTGACCTGTTTTTATTTTTAATGTATTCCTTTGTTTTCCAAGGAACTAGATGGATGTCAGAGTATGTAAATTTATGTGCAAACTGGGTGATGTATATGAGGAATATTTTCTTTTATTTCAAAAATAGTGTCAGGCTGTTAGCTCTGTCAAGCTAAAACCTTTGGGTAAAAGTTACACTTACACTCTATTTTCAATCTTCTTCCTGCAGCTAATATCAGTCAGCACTGTCCTTGTAACCACATTCTCCTAAGGTACAAGGAAAGTAAGAGAATGTCTCTGGTCATTTGTTTTGCTGCACCTGTTTGTGAACTCTTTAGTTTGTTATGCTTAACATATGTTTGTTTGCTCACCTCCCTTCTCTATAGAAGACTGTAATTATCAGAACAAATTAACAACTACTTGAAGGAAAAAAAAAAAAGATCCGCTTTGCTTAGCTTCAGTATAATTTAACAGAAACATATCATTTACTTAGTTAACTGTTGACAGAGAACCTTACTGCCTTGAGTCTGCCTGTGAAAATACTCTGTGTTTCTACTTTGTTCTTTAATACCAAAATACCAATTCATAACTTAATCCTTGTTCTAAATGCATGGAACATCAGTTAGATGTAGTTTTACTTTAAAATGGAGATTGGTAATAGTAGTAATAGCAACAGCAGAGTGTGATCCTCTTCTCTTATAGTGTAGGCAAGACCTGAGACCAGGGATTCAGATGTAAAAGTAATCTTTCCTGATATGCAAAGTAGACAATTGGAAGTGGCTGATCAAGTAGACTTGTTTCTCTGTGTCTGTAGACATAAATGTAGCTATGGAAGCAGGCTGTTTATCCACTTTATTTTTGTCAGCAGAATATGGCTTCTCATTCCTATTTCTTTGGGCCTAAGCAGTTTCAAATCTAGTTCCTCTCAAAGACTAAGATGGGATTAATAAACCATATTGAAAAGAGAGAGAATCAAAACCAGGTGTTTAACTTCTTCCATTTTGCTGCTTTAGGATTTGAGTTTAGAATTGAAAAAAAACTTACATACAGCAGGTTCAGGTCAATGGCTTCTCCTCCAGGTTCTCTCCACCTTCTTTTCAAGACTATCCTTCCCCTTACAAATGTGGATTTACAGAGGTGTTTCTCTATTGCTAATTGGCTCATCCTGGGCTGGGGTATGCCCTGGAGCCAGGGAAGCTTTTGCAAAGCTTCTGGCAAGGTGGCTCCTTCCCCCAGTACCAAAAACGCTTCCCCCTCCACCCTCCCCAACCCCAACACAATTTGTTTTCTGTATTTGCTTTTTTTAAAACCTCACACCTAATGGAACTGTCAAGTTTCTGTTAAACCTTGACCTCTGGCTTTTTTTTTTTCCTCTTTGCAGGTATTTGTGGAAACACTAGACAAATGTTTTGAAAACGTCTGTGAACTGGATTTAATTTTCCATGTAGATAAGGTACTGCGATGAGTTCCTGTAATGTTTCTTGTCAAGTAAAATGTTTGGTTCACCTTATACTTGGTATTAAACTCTGAAGCGATTCTACTTTTATTGTCAGTGAAATCTAGACAGTTTCTATCAACATATTAAGACATGAAAGCTGTGGTGGAACATGTCTTTTTGAGGAAAAATGAAATAATGTGGGAGACTTGCAGAGTGTTATTGCACATATAATTGTCAAATTGGAGACAACTGAATATTCTCAGAGTAGGACTTAGTTTCAGGAATAATTTATTCTATGTTGTTTGTGGTTAGGTGTTATATCAGAACTGAAATAGTTACAGGGTTTTCCAGTTAAGTCTGGCAATTGCCTTTCAAATGCTCTGATTATGTAATTTAAATGCTGTGTGGATCTTTCTCATCTCAAACAGATATTATGTATTTGTTAAAACAACCTTGTTTTGAATATTCTCAGCTATCAGGAACGTTTTATTTATTAATCTATTAACGCTATTACTATAGTAATCTTTAATTTAAAAGGACATTGGCATTGGTATCATACTTAAAATGCTGATAACTGAATATGCAGAGTTTATTCCTTCAGTTGCATTTTGTGCCTACTGTTGCTTTCTATGCAGTCACCTTTCCCCATCTGTGAACATCTTTTAGCATCAACAGCCAAAGACACAAAAGGAAAATAAGACAAAAATCACTACAAGTGGACTAAAAATAGTAACAAGTTAAGTATCTGAAATAAACATTTGGAAGGAACTGACTCAGTTTGTTTCAAAACCAGGAAGTTCTTTTGGAAGAAACATTTGTACCTTGACCAGACAGTGAAATTCAAATGACTTTGAGTAGGTGTTTGAACAGATACAGTGCTCATGACAAGTCATTAGGATTCCTAGCCTGGAAACACGTCGACATTTTCCAAAATGGCAAATTAAAGTACAAAAGAATTTACCAGTGGTTTATGTATTGGCTTCTGAGCTTAAAGAACCCGAATACTGCAGTCTTTTGTGGCAAGAAGTTTGATCTTTAGCTGCAGAATACTTTGGCTGCTATGCTATCTAAGCTGTTGTTTGGTAGCTTTCCTTCATATAAGCAGTATTTTACACTTTACAGGAGAAACATCTTTCTAATAAAATGTAGAGAATTTAGATGCTTCAAAACGTTAAATTTCTTGAAGAATATTAGAATATTTAACTTTTTATTGGATATAAGATGATATTTTCTTCTTGGAAACTGTTTGTCAAAAAGGAAGCTACAGTGTTTCATTTGATTTACTAAAAACCTGTCTGAGAATCCCATTAAATGTTTAGGCTAGGATTTTCACACTCTGAGGAAAATGTGAACCCTAAATGCTGATTAGATATTTTAACAAAAGTAACCCATTTCCAAAATAAAAGATCAATGTAACCTTGAGTTAAAAATTTTTTGCATTAATCAGTGCAGTGATTTTTAACTTGAGTATAAGTCAGCAAAAGAATACCATACAGAAAGCTGAACTTCTGCAGTAATGCGAGGCTAGTATGAGCAGTACAGTAGCATTAGTGGTGTTACTGTGACTAATCTGATGTCATCTCCATTCTTTTTTTTCCTTTTCTTTTTCCCCCCAGTGTACTTGGTTTGTAAAACCTACTTCATACCGTAACATAGGATGAAAACATTTGGTTTGGTACAGTTTTTAGTATTCTTGTAGATCTGTAGAGGAAAAAAAAAAGGCAGATGTATCTGTGGGAATGAAATTACAGCATTAAATTATCTTTAAACTGCTGATAAGGTCACCTTGTCAAGAAGCAAAATGCATTTAGTCTTCTGGGTTACAACACATTAACTTCCTCTTGTCAGATATTTGTGGTCTGGCTTGTTAATAGATTTCAGGTGTGCAATAGGGAAAACTAGCATCTGCTGCTGGATGTTTGGTGTAGACACTATCTTCTAGTGGGTGCTTACATGTGGGAGCTGTTTGGGGTGAAACATTTTAAATACTGGTATTTTGAGTGGTCTGGTGTTGAGAAAAGTGAGGACTGTCTAGTTGATTTGGATGAGAGTTGATCTGTATCTTCAGTTCTTGATAGAGCTGTGGACTTTCTTACAATCTCCTTGCTAGAACTGCCTAAAAACCAAGAAATACCTTTCTTGTAAAAAGTGATGTAGCATGTAAAAGAGTTTATCTATGTCATCTCAACAGTTGTTGCCTGTTAGTACCATTTTATCTACCATTTCCTTAAGGAAACATTTGCCTTCATCAGGTAGCCATCATTATACAGGACCTACTGATGGCTTATAGTAACCTGGAGCTGAGCCTATTCAAGAAGAATATTGACATAGTACTAGAAATTAATTTGGAGAATGGAATATAGGTGGGAATGATGTATTGTTTCTTGTGTGCTGCAGCAGATGAGGACTTGGCGTGTCAAGGAGTATAGTTTGTACAGAAGAGAATTGAGGTTCTCTTACAGATCCCAGATTTTCCTGGGAGAGTTTTTTCTTCATGCATTCCTTCTCCACTTTTGTTAAAGTGTGCATTCATACTCTTAGATATACCATGGAATAGAAGTAGGAAGTATTCTTGATTTTTGTAAAAATACCTCAAATTATTAGGAAACACAGTTTTAGATTTTGAAAAGTTGATGTTCTCAACAGTCTCTCATCTCTTTTAGAATATAAGTGTAAGAGATGTATCCCACGTGCCTTCAACACTGTTTTGAGTGTGCTATTGAAGTGTATTTTGCACTTCATTGCCACTTAATGCTTTTTTAATTTTCAGAAAAAAAAATTTTCTTCAGAAAAATAATTAGTGACACTTTTAATTATAAAAAGTAGAGAAACTTACATATATTTTTAAATTCGATACATACTCACAATAAAAAGAAAAGAAAAAGAAAAAATAGTTAAAAATGTAGGTCTTACTAATGCTAATATCTGGGCAAACTTGCTAGTACTGTTTTATTCTTATGGTGTATTTAATAAAAGAGAGTAAAAAGATTACAGTATTTACATAATATTGTTGTTTGTAGTCATGATTTCCTTTCATTACAGGTTAACAAGTAAAATTGTATTCTGTTACTTAGAAAATCATTCCTTTAGACGAAAAATAGAGCAAGACAAAAAAAGAAGGCTAAGCTACTGTTACCAATCCATTCTTTATAAATATTTTTAAATACTGCATATTAGAATTGCCCGTTGCATACTAAAAGTGGGAAAAAAACACAGAGAAAGGTAAGAAGCATGATTCAAGGTATGGAAAAGCTTACATGGAAGAAGTAGTTAAATAGTCAAGATCTGGGAGGCAGAAAAGTAAGTATATATAAAAAAAAAAGGGCATTGAAGGGCCTGAAGAGAATGAACTGCGTTTCTCAGAAATAAAGAATAGTGGGATATCAGATAAAATTTTAAGGAGTACGTTTGAAACAAAGTAAATGTATTTTTTCATTATTAATTTATTATTTTTCATTATTTTTATTATTTCATTAAACTATGGAATTACGTTGTCCCATTTTATCATAGATTCGAAGAATATTATAAATAAGTTCAAAAGTGATTAGACATATTAAACAACGGAAAATCTTACAGGGGCTACAGAATACAATAATATAGCAAGAAACAACAGACAGCCTTTGTTTCAGGAATCCTTAAGTTGGAGATATTTGTAAGCAGAAAAGTAATGTCAGGATAAATAGTACTCTTAAGGTTTCCTGCATAGTTTTTAAAGTGTCAGCTGGTAAATTTTTGAAAATGAACTGGCTTACTAAAGTTTTTTTTAAGCATGCTTGAGCATAAGTAGTTTTAACTTTCATGTTTCTTAAAGCAAGCTGCATGATGGAAAGGTAAATGTTATGATGTACATCTTTTGTGACATGAAATACTGAAACAACTGCTCAGTAGTAATTCATGGTGCTTTAATTTGTACTGTATACTTACTAGAGGATTTTCTGAGAGCAAAATTATAATAAAGCAATCCTTTGAAACACCAACAACTAGAGTAATTAAATAGTTTCTTTATGACTAAAAAGATCAAGGAAGGTATTTCCTTAATGTTTTGATGCAGAATACTAAGGGATCCTCTGTGGATTAGTGTGCTTTAGGAAAAAAAAAATCCCTATGGTCCTTTCTGTCTGTAAAACTTATTGTGGTATTTGTAAATCTTCATATACAGTCTCAATATAAGCAATTTTTTTGCTGAGAAACTGTATTCAAAATTGTATTAATTCTCCTTCTTCACTGCATTCACCATAATAAGGCTAATGGCAATAGCTGCCAAAGGCTGGATATTAAGGCCAGTCATACCAGTATGCTGCTATACCTGTCCTATGCAAGTGTACTGCTGTTCTGTACAGTTATCGCATCAGTGCTGTAGCTGGCCAGAAACCTGAAGTTTGCATTCTGTACCTGCAAACACTGCTCGCTTGTCAATTACTTATTAAACTGTAGCTTGCTTGCATGTTATGGACTTCTTTCAGAACTTACACCAAGAGGAATGCATGCCTGGGTGAGATGCATTCTTTGGACCTGTAAATCAAATTCTTTCTCTTGGTATAATGCGGTGATTGCCTTGTTTTGTTGTTGCAGTTGGGCTACAACCTTACTTTTATAATTAGTGGTCTATGTGATCAAGAAGCCTTTTTTTTTTTCCTTTTTAATTTCTAAAATAGTAGAACAATCCGCTTTCTTCTTAGAAGCACAGAATAATTTACACTGGAAGGCACCTCTGGAGGCCATGTGATCTGGTTGCACTGCTCAAGCTTGACCACTTCTTGAATTTATGTCTGTCTTCATATTATACAAAATTCATCAGATGAGTCATAGCATAGAGGTGTTCCCTGAACTGCCATTCATACTGTGCACTTACTGTAGAGACCTTGCACTACTACTGTTTTAAGATGATGTTACCAACACTGGCATCTATTAAGTGGTATCTCTGCATCTTATCATAGAATCATAGAATGGTTAGGGCTGGAAGGGACCTTAAAGATCATCTAGTTCCAATGCCCCTGCCATGAGGAGGGACACCTTCCACTAGACCAGGTTGCAATGTTAAACAAACATTTGATTTTCTGTAATATTTAGACATAGGTAGCTGTAGAACATGGAAAAAAAGAAAACTTCCTGCGCTATTAGTTCAGCAAAGGGTTCAAATACTTGCTTAACATAGTACGTCCATATGCATTTCTGTTGAGCTCAGTGAAAAAGCAGGAAGAGGTTAAGGCGTAATCTAAAGGGCAGGGTGCCTTCTGTAAACCTCAGAAGGGCCCAGCACTTCTCTGGTCTGACACAGATTTCTACTGTGATCCTGGGCAAAACCCTTGAATTCAGAACTAACAAAGCAGACAAACAATGCGTGGACACTCAGCCCTCGGATCATCCTCGTGGCCTCCTCTGGACTCGTTCTAACAGGTCCATGTCTCTTTTGTGTTGGGGGCTCCAGAACTGGGCACAGTGCTCCAGGTGGGGCCTTACGAGAGCAGAGTAGAGGGGGAGAATCACCTCTCTCGACCTGCTGGCCACGCTTCTCTTGATGTAGCCCAGGATACGGTTATTGGCCTTGTCATTGCACCACATTGGCATGTCAACTGCACCACACAGCTTGGT